GTAAAGAATTGAAATACCTATTGATGGAGGAGTTGACAGGAAAAAGGGTGGAAGCTGAACTGTGTGTCGACAATCACAGTGCAATCAAGCTAATAGAATCTGGACAAGTAACACGTAGGAGTAAGCACATAGACATTAGGTATCACTACATAAGTGAACAATTGAAAGAGAAACTGTTCTCAATCAAATATTGTAACACTGAAACTAAGGTGGCAGACATTTTAACAAAACTGCTATCACCAGAGAAATTTACCAAGTTTAGAGACATTATACTTAAGAAGAAATAAGTCTGATTTTGATAAGACTGAGAAAATTTTAATTACATGTACTAATTTTGTAATCTGAAAACCAAAATTACTAAGTGTTATTCAATTTAACTTTGTAAAACAGCTAATAATGTTGACAACATTTTGAAATTAAGGAGGAATGTTGAGAATCTAGTAATGTAAAAATGTTCAAGTTGGTAATAGTGATTTATATTCATTTGTTTTTGTTTTGTATTATAATAAAAAGTTTCTTCTCATCCAATATGGCAGTTAAGTGATATGTAAGCACGACACAAAGAAAATCAACAATATGCCAAGAACATAAAATTTCTCATTTTGTATTCATCATTAATAAGTCATTTGAATGGCTATGGAATGGGTGATGGGATCAGTTATTGGTAGTGTGGCAATGAAAATCTTTACTCTTACCACCAAATTAAGTATAGTTTTGCTGCCCATCTGTCGTTCTGTTCAACAGGCACAATGGATACAATCTACCACTCTGACATAGTGTTAATATTAGAGAAATGAATGAATGAATTAAAGAAAAATAAACGTACACATAGAAATGGTCATATGTATGCATGTTCAACATTTCATAGTCCTCCAAACAATGAAGTACCTACTTCAGGTAAGGGTGCTGGATCTAACTGATTTTTCTTTATTCCAGATAGAATATGCGTGACAGAAAGACAGGCAACAACAAATGACTGTGACAAATTAAAAAAAACTGAAAGCAAATTCAACTGCGTGAGAGTTATTGACAAGTAAGTTATATAATATATTTGCAATTCGTTTTTTATACAAGTTGGAGAGGTAATTGTTACATAATCATGGACTGCATATTAAAGCATGTCTGTCTTGTGTATGTGGGTATAATATTTTAACCTGAAACAAATGTCTTGAATATTTACTTATTAAGACTTTTACAAAAAACATGCATATATACACACACCTGTAAAAATAAGTTAATAAATAACAGAATAAAATTGTATGGATGAATTTTAAGAATGATAGAAGATAGACGTCACAAATGAGGCTCAAAACATGTAACAAAAAATGAAATGTCTGAGAGGAAACCCATGACCAAGATGAGAACAACAGTTTAGGAAAGATGTCACACCAGATTTCTTGGATTAATTATTGACAATATCTTGGCATGGAAAGGACATGTCGACTGGCTCATCACTAAATTGATCTCTACCTGTTATGCAATCAGGACTATTAAGCTTTATATGTCACAGGAAACAATGAGAATGATTTATTTCTCATACTTTCATTGTGTAATGATTTATGGTTTGATCTTCTGAGGCAAGTCTCCCCAAAGTACCCTTATTTTTAGGCTCCAGAAAAGGGCAATTAGAATCATCACTAATTCTAGGAAAAGTGACTCTTAAAGGGAATTGTTTAAAAAAAATGAAAATTTTGCCCCTCCAATATATTTTCTCTCCTGTTTTTTTATGGCCAAAAATGGAGCAATTTAAAAGTAACTCTCAAATTCATAGCATTGTTACAAGACAGCAATAACCTTCACTATCCTACACGCAATTTGTCAGCATTCCAAAAAGGAACATATTATTTTTGTATCAAGGTTTTTAACAGCCTCCCTCCTAGCATAAAGAACATAGTTCATGATATTACTGTTTATTGTTTATTGTTATTAAATAACTCCACAAATCCTGTACAGGGGCTTTAGCACCTATAGGATATAGAGCTAGTCAAACTTATACAATCTCATACAAAACATAAAAGACATATTAAACATATTAAACAATTTTAATTTGCTTTAAAAGATTTCTTCTCCTAAATTCATTTTACTCACTGGAGGAATATTTTAACCACAATATTGATTAAAGTTCCTGGTTCACTACATGCTTAATGAATGGCTGTATATTTCATACTTGATTATTGTAGTGTTGTTCGTTGATAGATCGATGCATGCTTGAAGTCACACACATTGCATAGCGGTTCTCTGAACAATATGTTTTCAAATGTGTTTGTCTAATTGTATCCAGACAAGCAATCTAATCTGTTCTGTTGTCCCTGTTTATTTTAGTTTACCAGCCAGTAAGGCTCGAAGAATGTAAAAGAAGGAATGAATGAATAAATAAATTATAGCCACATAATTGTATACTAGTAATTATATTATACTCATTGGAAGAATATTTTTTATATATGTTGTTGTCGCGCTTGCCATTTTTGACTGTATTTTACTGTATTCACAAGTCTCCCTTATGCGGATCTATGAATGTATGAATGGAGACTGCTTGCTTCCTTTTACTTTTACTTACTTATTTTATAACCTTTAACGATGTATTCATTGACAGTTTTTGACAAAAGGCTCAAATTATGATGCACAAGTATAATTAACTTGATCTACGTATTTTATAATCTTATTACTTATTAGTGATGTACCCATCGACATTGTACCTGTTAACAGGCTCAAATTGTGATGCATAAGTACATTTAACTTACATTTATATAATATGTAATCTTATTAATTTTTCAATTAGAATTGTTATTGTATGGATGTCATTGTATTTATATTGTATTTGACTTCTTCCATATCCTATGGTGTCTACCTGTATCTGGATTTACGGAACATAAATAAATTGAATAGAAGGACAGAAAATGGAAATGTAGAGAGAGATGGAGAAGCTTGGTTGCTATACAACCCACACATAATAGAAATGTATGAGGAAAGATAACATGATATAACCAAACATGAAAAGTTCTGGGTGATAGAAATGTCACGTCATTTGTTTAAATGTGTGCCATATCCAAAGGCATTATCTATACAACCCATATAATGAAAGATCAGAAGAAGTCACACACATTTTCTACAGTCATTTAATGAACTCTGAATGCCAAATAATGTCAATAAACATGAAATTTGGTTTAACAATGGATCCTTCAATTCTGGACCCATTCTGGCATAAATAACTTGTAATAGAATCTGCTTTCCACAATCCTCTTCGTTTCTAATGTAAACGTATGATTACCAATCATAACATTTTATAAATAATTCTGAATTAAACATTTTAAGCTTACATAGTAAACAGGGAAATAATATGAATGCTTCAGCATAAACACTAAACTAATTTATGCATGTAGTAAAACATACCATGGGACCTTCTAATTTCCATAAGCTGGCTCTCAATTTTGGTTTCAAGAGTGGCAGACTCCAGCATGGTTTCTTTCCCTAAATTTTTTAGTGTGAGATAGGTCACTCTTCCTTTCCAGACTGGTCTTTACAGATAAGAATTTAAATTTTTGACTCCAAGTGTCTTCAACAAAACTAGTGAATGTCTACTTTCGACATTTTATTTTTGCTGTATTACACGTGATGCACACGTGTTTGCAGCGCACACTTAAAACTCCTGACTCAAAAGGGTCCATGTAAGGTAAATTAAGTAAGCACTCCTGCATAAGAATGGTAAACACTAACTTAATAAATCTATTCTAAGAATAGTCACATATAAGAATGAATACTCTGAACAGCAGGCAAAATGAAAATCAGAACCAAAGAGTATAGTGAAGAAAGTTGTCTTCTGGGTTTTGGCGCCGAGTTTCATTTTGGCTGACGTTCCTCCGAAACGTTTCTTCATAGTCATCGCCGTGAAAACCTCAAAACTTACAAAGAGTATAGTGTTTCTATCTTCACGCTAGTTATGTTAGCAGAGGCCAGTATGATAAAGTACATTCTGGAAGAATAAGCCATTATACAACACATGTTATAGTATTCTATGCCAGCTCTTAGGTTGTATTTGGGGGAGGGGGGTAGAGAGACAGACTGACAGACAGTGCAAGAGAGATAGGATTAGTCACATTTGAAGATAGTCAGAAAGGTCATACCATTAATTGTCACATTGATGTCATGTATTCTAAAATCCAGATATCTGCAATGATTCCAGCATTAAGGCTTTGTGGAATCTGAAGTGAAAGCAATAATAGTGTCATTCAGTAAACAATCTTGAAATTATGTAACATGATAAAATATTAAAAAATTACCTTTTTTGATAATTTGTGTAATATATGGAAAACACCATTACAGATGTGTAAAATACCTGACTGTTGAGAAACTGCTGTCTTGAATTTGTTGTAGTTTTTCTCAGTTGACATAAATGCTGGAAGAGTATCTCAAAACAGACAATGCAATCTTCCTAGAAGACCCACACTCTTCATAATTTTAAATTTACCTACCACTTTTCATTCAACAGTGCATAAACTATGCAGCTTAGACATCATTGGAAAATAACTAAAAAAAACCATTATTCTGAGACATTGTACTGCTTTCAGTACTGACTGTGCTCTGAAATTGGAAAGAGGCGAAGCAGATTTTGGAATATTCACAGCTGAAGAAGCTATTTTGGCATCAAAATTCGATACCAAACAGCAGCTAGTGGTAATTGGTGATATTCGAGACTCCAAAGAAGACAAAAATGGTAAGAAATTGTTTCTAAAGAGATTTGACAGATTTTGTACTAACCAAATGAAATGAGTATTTGCATGTAGGGAAAGAGAATTAGAGATGTCAATTTTAACAGAAACTTTAGTAACTCAGCATTCTGAGTCAGATCTTTCTCAGGATAGGAAGAAAAGTACTGCAAGATTACCAGTAATCAGAAAAATATTACTCGTAAATTCATTAATCAAAAAATGTTATGTACCTGGTTATGAATTTGTTACGACTGTGTATGGTTCCTTCTTAGTTTATAATTTGAGCATCTGAATTAATCCTATTGTCACATGTTAGTGACTAAATATGGAGTTTGGATTGATAATTTGATTTATTGAACACTTGTAACTTGCAGCTAAAAATAATTATTCTATCACTAAACTACACACTTAACAAACCACTGCTGCAAATAATAAGTCATCACAGTCCGCTATGTCTTCATTAGTCATTGCTTTAGATGCTCCAAAAAATGTCGTCTTCTGCTTGTGTGATTGTCAGCTCTCTTCCATCTCACAACTCTGTCTCAACTGTCAACTCTCAACTAAGTAACTTGTCCATTGGTTCTACTTATACGGCCTTGGCCTTGGCCCTAACAGTTCTATTAATAGCTCGTCTAGTTGGGCAGAAGTAAAATTTTGTGTACCCCAAGGTTCAATTCTTGGCCCACTTATTTTCCTCTTGTATATAAATGATATACATATACATACATACATACAAAGATACATAATTTCACAGATCCATTGTCCGGGAACCGGACTGGATATTGAATTCGTCAGCAAAATGACATTGCAAAATGCAATCTAGTCTCAACAATTAAAATATTCAAGAATTATAAAATAAAAACACAATAATAAAATAAAAAGCAGTCATATAACAAATCTAGATAATACATAATCTTGGAAAGACAACAATAGTGTATTATGGTTGCCTGTATGCCATGTATTCATCTACCGAATAAAATGCATTTAAAATAAGATA